TCGGTTATATCACAGGACCCTGACCTAGGTCTTGTACTATACTGGGCCCAGCCTCGACCAGACGCGTTCCTTTACAGTCTCCTCATACCTCCCCACTTTGGTCGGTCACCTTTCCCTTCCTAATACGGTCGGTACCCCATAGTATATAAGGAGGCCTGTAGTCGGTAGAGGCTCCCCACTTCTGTTCTCCTCTTCGTTACCTCCTGTATCCCTATATCCCTCAATCTAGGGACTTGCGCGATACTCTCTCCCCCGTGTGCTACACCACGTACTTGGATAAGTCCGTGTGATAAGTCTGGATAGACTTGTGTTAGTACTTCAGCGTAACATTAGAACAGAAGTTCTCCCACCACGCCTTGGATAGGACTCACCGTGGCGCACTCTATTCGTCAACTCGCAGACCGACTTCGACGAACGCATGGCCGTGACCATACTACGGTCAATTACTTGGACGACGAGGTAGTCGTCTACAACCACAACCGCACCCCCGAGGAACACCGAGCGTACAACCTAGTACAACGCCAAGCCACACCAGCAGACGCTGAACGTTCCATTCGGCAACTCGAGGAAGCATACAGACGTGCGACCTACCAGGAAGGATTGCTCCTCGATCGACCGGTAGCACCGACGCCTCAGAGACAGGCAGCTATCGAACACATCCGTCAACAGACTCTTGACCGGATCGGAAGGACTCACGCACGAGCCGTCCTTCACAGCCCCGTTTGGAACGAATATCGCCTAAGCGTCGGCTCTTGGACACCAAGCCAGGCAAGCCTCGAGTTTACTATCTTTGACGAACTCGAGCATTGGGTACTCCGCGACAACGGGTACGACGCAGATGACGAACTACCATCATTCGTCAACACCGAGCAAGAATCATCGGCAGGCAACCCCTCAAGCCCCGAACCACTAGACATCTTCTCCTTCCTTACGAGAATTCGGGACAATGCGAGCGCGTTGTACGATATCACCAACCACCACCCAACCCTCACCCCGATCTCTGAGCAAGCACACATCCAGGTCCTCATCGAACAGGTTCAGCAGGTCGTCAACACCCTTCACAATCTCCAACGGCTCGTCAGCCCACCCCTTCCCCCCATCCCCGTTAGCCACGACCCAGAAGAACGCCACGGATCCAGTTACTTTACTGCTCGAATTCGTGAACAGGCCGAGAATCTTCATAACATTCAGAGTCTTTTGGACCCGGACTTCGCCAAACACTGCCGACGCCTACATCTACTCATTGGGGCCAGGGAACTATACGAATCTCACCGTCGCATCATTCGAAACGGATACGAGTCCCCTGACGCTAGTTCCGATTCCGACTATTCGGCGACTCTACGCAACTTCCACCTGGACTAGGTATCCCTCCGCATGAATACGCAGCGGACCGATTGCGCCCAACGTATTCACCGATACGACCCCGAGAATTGACGTGACATCAGCTTCAATAGAGAAGGACAGAACAGGCGCACTTGCAATAACCACCTGTGCCCCAACCAATACAACGGACAGAGCAGCCCCCACGTCATCACTGGAAACGCGCCACAGAAAAGGCAGGAAGCCTTCATCCGAACGACTTGGGCCCTCAATCGAATAACAGCCCCCTCCCCTCCGCGTAGCCCTGCTACCCATCGCACTAGTTCCCTACCAGACATAGCGAACGAGCCCACCGAGGCTACACCCTTGTCGGAAGACAACCCCGCTCCTTGAGACGACGAAGAAACCATCACCCCTCTCCACGGTCTTCTCCAAGCACACCCGGAGGAACCAGACAGCGACGCGGACACGACAACAGAACTCATAGACGCCACTATGTCCGCAGTACCACCCCGTTCTAGCCTCCCCAGTTTCCAACTCGGAAACTTGTTCACTCCTCAAGACAGCATCTCCTCGCTACGCCAGGCGACAGGGGCCCAACCCGGTCAAACCACTCACTACGCCAGCAGTGAGTCCCGACAGCACAACCTGTGATACCACCTACTACTGCTGCACCGCCTGGTCGGCCACCTACACCCCCTGGTTTGCCTCAAGGACCTGGCGGACCTCCGCAGGGCGGCGGACCTCCTCAAGGACCTGGCGGACCTCCGCAAGATGGCGGACCACCTCAAGGCGGTGGACCTCCTCCGGGTGGTGGACCTCCTCAAGGCCCCGGCAGACCACCACCTATGGCTCCTCTCGGCGCACCAGGCATCGTCGCCGGACGAACCAAAGTCCGCGCACCCAATGTTTTTGACGGAGACCGCGACAATCTACACACCTTCCTCAATGAACTCTTCCTGTTCTTCGAAGCACGTCCAGCCGACTACGCCACCGACCAGAGCCGCATCGTCACCGCCCTAACGTTCATGGACAGACCGAAAGTGATCGCCTGGAAAGACGGATACATCGCCCAAGCCCGACGAAACGGCTGGAACACCTGGAACACGTTTGAGACTGTCTTACAACAGACCTTCCAGCCCATCGAGGAAGCCGCTACGGCCGCCTCTAAGCTGTACCACCTCGACTACCAGCCTGCCGCACCAGACACCTTCAATGCGGAATTCTTCCGTCTCTGCGCCCTCGCCGGTATACTCGAAGACAGCGCTCAACTGTCCTTCTACAATGAGCGTCTCCCAGAAAGCATGTGACGACGGGTTCGCCTCACGTACCCCATCCCCACCACCGTTAACGAGTGGGCAGCACGGGTATTGGAGATCGAACACTCCAACTACGAAGAACGCCATCTGCGCCAACTCGAGGGACGCTCTCGCAACGACCAACAAGGTCAAGGCTCGAAGGGGCAGTCTGCTCGTCCCAACTCCATATGACAGGTCGACGCACCAGCCATGAAGGAAGACAGAGAGAAGAAGCAATGCTTCTACTGCCACAAGACTGGTCACATCGCACGCGATTGCCTTAAGAAGAAGGCGGATAACCGCGCCAAGGGACGACAGCCTGGACAGAAGAAGCGGAAGGTGCGCAAGGTCGATGAACTAGAGGATGGCCAGGTCGCCGACGACGAGGACAATGGCGACGACACACCTGACAAAATGATCAGTCAGGTCGATGTAGACGATTCGGATGAGGGTTTTTGAACGGGCAGTCTTCGCTGACAGAAGAACTGCCCTCTGACTGTATTAGTATCTCGTTTGTTGCCACTACAGAACGACGACGTCAATCTATTCTTATCCTGGGCAGCATCGAGTACGGGTCTACAAGTGTCGGAGCTCATGCGTTCATCGATTGCGGAGCAAGTGCTTTTCTCCTTAACCGGAATTTTGCGAAGAAGCACAAACTCCCTCTCGTCACCTTACCCTCTCCCCTTCGTTTCACCAATGTCGATGGCACCGCCAACACGGCTGGACCCGTCACCCACAAATTCGTAGGCCACTTCCGAATTAACAGCCACGAGTTCCCCACCAAACTCTACGTCGTGGACTGCGGACGAGACGACATCATTCTCGGAATGCCATGGCTCATCCAGTACAACCCCCACATAGACTGGGTACAAGGCAAGGTCCGGTTCGACGCCAAATACCTACGGGGGGAACAGCGACTCTGGGAATACCATCAGCGCCCCTCAGGGAATCTCCGCCGACACCTTACCGCTTTCCTTCACGGAGACATCCATCCCGAATGCAACCCATCTGCCACCATCCGACGACTCATCATAGGAGACACCCCCATCGCTCGCACCACCGTGTCGACCCAATTGGCTGTCGAAGCCGGGTCGAAAGCAGCCGACGCCAAGGCTACCGTCGCCATCCCAGACTACCTCAAAACCTATCACCAGGTGTTTGAGAAGAAGGCGGCCGAACGAATGCCCAAGCCCCGGGCCTGGGATCACCCCATCGACCTGCGACCTGACTTCAAACCTCGGGACTGCAAGCTGTACCCCCTGTCTCCGCTCAAGATGCAGGAACTTCAGAAGTTCATCGACGAGAACTTAGCCAAGGGGTACATCCGCCCATCCACCTCACCGATGGCATCCCCTTTCTTCTTCGTGGACAAGAAGGATGGTTCCATGCGACCCGTCCAGGACTACCGCTACCTCAATTCCGGCACAACCAAGAACGTCTACCCCCTCCCCCTGATCAACGACCTCATCGACCAGTTGCAAGGGGCCAAGTACTTCACGAAGTTGGACGTCCGAGCCGGTTACAACAACGTCCGCATCAAAGACGGTGATCAGTGGAAGGCGGCCTTCAAGACCCCCCTCAGCCTCTACGAGCCGACCGTAATGTTCTTCGGGTTATGCAACGCCCCACCGACGTTCCAGGCGATGATGAACGACGGTTTCAAGGACATGATTGCGGAGGGATGGCTCATCATCTACATGGACGACATTCTGATACACTCCAAGACACAGGACGTCCACCACCATCGAACGCAGCGGGTTGTGCAGCGTCTCATCGAAATGGACCTGTTCCTCAAACGCGAGAAGTGCGTGTTCGACGCTGCTGAGGTCGAGTTCCTAGGCACCATCATTCGCGAAGGATCGCTCGGCATGGACCCAGTCAAGCTCGACGGCATCCGCGCCTGGCCTGTACCCACCACCATTAAACAAGTCCAGAGCTTCCTCGGATTCTGCAACTTCTACCGACGCTTTATCCGTGACTATAGCAAGATCGCTCGGCCACTGACACAACTCACCTGGAAGGATCTACCCTTTCAATGGACGCCCGAATGTCAGGTTGCATTCGACACGCTCTGCAACCTATTCCAGCAGAAGCCAATTCTTTGCATGGCCAACCCATCTGCGGCCTTCCAAATTGAATGCGACGCCTCCATGTTTGCCACCGGAGCCGTCCTCCGCCAGCGGAACGCCAACCAGGACTGGATGCCGGTAGCATACCTCTCTCATGTTAGCTGCAGTGGGCCTCAAAGGGGTCACAATGGCCTAAGTCGAGCTCTGTAAGCCTTTTCATTGCAAGGAAACTGTGCTACACACCTAAGTCGAGCTCTGTAAGTCTTAAGGACTGCAGAGTCGACTCAGGCGCAGATGACGGCGCACAGAGCGCGTGGGAACTAGCTAACACGACCATACACTAAGTGGCGCTGGAATGGCGCCAAACGGACCAGAAGTGGGTAAGGTAGACACTACTCTAGAGTGCAGTCAGATCTACAGAAATGGAGACTACTAGTGAAAGAAATGTAGTATCTGTATGGAAACGAGAGTTGTGACTATACGAAAATTACCGTAGATAGCAGACAGCGCGAACTATGTATGGCGCGATGCGGGACTTGGTGCGATTAAAATCGACACCGCTACAGCACTGACTCCAACACT